CCACGTGGCGCCCCCCGGCCTCGTCCCCGCCGCCTTCTCCACCGAGGCTTACAAGTTTCCGAAGGTAAAAGGAGAAGTTTCGTGGGGTGCTTTTTTATTTTTTTTTTGGCAAAAGTGGATACTATTCTTTTCTTTCCTTTTAGGATTTTAATTGTCGTTAGGAATTAGTCGGTGCTTCCTATTTTGGTCCCATTTTCTGTTGAGTTTGGAAGTGATTATTATTTGTATTTGAGGAAAGTTGTCCCCTTTTTTTCAAGTTTTGAATGGCGTATTTTAAAAACTTTGGGGTTTATTTATGGTGAACATTTCTTTAATTACGAGAAGTTTTGGGGTTTTCGCTAAATATTTGAGTTTGTTTTTGCTTCTTACCTTAGGGCTTCTGGCTTCATACCCTGCTTCCTCTTTAATTTGTTAATTTCTACGATTTTAAAATAATATAAATGTCTATTTAAAGGAAGAACACAACTTGAGTTTTAATAGAAAGCTTTACTATTTCCGCAAAGCTTAAATAATAAAGCTTATAACTGCTGCTGATTTGGGTGGAAGTCCATTTTATTTGTACTTTCTTTTTTTTATTATTTATTAAATCGAATGTCACAATCTCTCTTTTTCTTTTATAGAGAAATAATAACTTATGTGGAATTTCTTGATGCGAAGTGCGAAACTAATTTGGGAGGAATCCTATTTTGTGTTTGCTGTTTTAGTTGTGACCGTTTCTTTGATTAGGATGTCACGTGTTTTATGTTGTTTTTCCAAATAAGATAGAGGAATTTTGGTGTTATTAATGCAAAATGTGTGATTGCTATCTAAATTTGGTAATAAAAAAAATTTATTGCAGCAAAGGGAAATTGGATTCCGCAGGTGGAGTGCTGAGCTGCGATGGACTCAAGAAATCGCCCCACCCCAACTATCCAAGCTATCCGTCTCTTCTTCTCAAAAGGTGACCCAAAATTTTGTTTCTTATGAATTTGGTTTTGATTTTGTTATCAAGTAACGCTATTTTGATTTCTTGTTTGTCAAAATTCTATGATGGGAATCATGGGCTAAGGTTAAAATTTTAGAATAAATGAATTATGTTTGTCTCTTTCATTGTGTTCACTCCTCTAGAATTGAACAGTTGGATGGCAATAATGGGAGCTCGGAATTGCAAAAGCTTTGGAAGCATCCATCGAGTAAAGATTATGTTCCTTGTGTGACACCCGACACATCGTACTCTTGTAAGGGAGTTTTATTTTTTCCTTCTTCAAAATTTAATTGTTTGTTTTCCTTTTCTTATTTATGTTGATTTCTTGGGGTTGTTATTCAGTTGGGTGATTTGGTTGTGTTTGTTGTTCTTCAGCACCCGTTGAATCGAGAGGTTACCTTTTGGTTCACACCAATGGCGGATTGAACCAGATGCGTGCTGGGGTAATTGAATTCTTAACCTGGTTTTATTGCTAGTATTGGTCCATAGATAGAATTTGAAGGGGAAATGCTAATATTAGATGTTGTGCTTAGTCATATGTGAAAAGAAGAAATAGTCAGCACAAGGAGAGCGTGCGGTACTTCTCTTTTGTTTCCACTATATCTTCATGTTAAAAAAAGTTGTTGACTTTCAGAAATATTCATAAAATTGAGAGATCATCAGGTCAAAATTCAAATATCTAAAGTTACTTCCTATAAGGATACGCAAGAAACCGGTAGATGCTAATATATTTTAACATTAGTGATCTCTATTAATCGCTTAGAGCATTTTTATGGAAACCTAAGTCGTAAAATCAAATAAAACATCTGATTCATATTTTCCTGACGGATAATGAAACCCTAAACCTAGTAGAATTCTCTTTCTAGTATATACCACAAGCACACATAACGCCTGAAATATCTAATGTTGAACACATCGTCTCAAGAGGGCGAAAGATATCCACTAAGGCCCATCTTTCCATCTCTAATCATGTCTAAATGAGCTAGTCCTTTATGTCAGACAATCTTCTGCCTGCGGTCCTTAGTAACATACTATCTAGTATCCACTATCCAATCTTTTTTGATAAAACGTATCGATTCATGTCTTTTTCTATCAGCTGCCTTCACTGTTTCCTGATACTAAGCATGTTTCACACATACTTCTATTTAGCCTCCCTTATCCAGCTTCAGCAACAGACTACTCTTTCAACCATACAAACTCACCAACTCCAAGCAGTAGCTCTTACTCTGCTACTTGTGATCTCGCGACACCGATCTTCTGGCTCTCTCACTCAGACTAAGTTGCGCTACAGAAGAGATATCCGCGATGAGACTCTTCATTTAGCACAACGTAGCAAGCAGAGTTCACAATAACCTCCATGCATCACATGCATTTTTCGAATATCAGTCCCTTTCAACACTCTCAGATTTATCCATGATCGCTACACAGCACATATGCCTTCCTTAGGCATCAGGCATGTAGCGGCTCGACCATCGCAATCCAAAGATGATATCGGACTGTGTTACTCAGGTGATTCAAACCTACCCTACATCCTTTCGGTATCTGTCACGTATTCAACTGGTTCTCCAGCCTCAGCACCCAGAACTTAACTTCTGGTCGATCGTTTTAGTTGCCAGCGACACACCATCCGATGTCTCTTAAAATCTAGTCATACTTTCTCTGGAAAACAATCCCCTCCGCTCCCGAGCTATTCTATCTCAAAAGTATCGAAGCAAGACCCAAGATTTTACTCCAACCTTACCTGTCTCACTTTGATTGGCAATCTCTCCTCCTTCTATCCCCTCTTAATATCATATCATCACATATACCGCAAGACGATGAGTAACCTTCACTTTGCGGAAAACACTATGATCACTTAATCTGCTCCGCGTTCCCATACTATCATAGCCCGCCAAATCCGATCGAAAGAACCAATCACGAGGAATTTGTTTCATGGCCATATTCAGAACTTAATCTCACCTGCCCACTGTCTTTTCTGTTTGAATTCTGGCGCGAATTATCCATGATACTCTCTCACCAGATCTCCAAAGAATGCATTCTTAAATACTAATTGGTGTATCTTCCATCACCATTACCAGAGAGATCAAGTATCGGACAGTGTCTCATCTCCCTACTGTGCCAAAAGCTCAATCATTAGTCGATGCGCTTATGTTCTGAACTATATCTTTTCCATCCAGACGGCTTATGATCCTCAACCGATCCCATCCTAGTCGCTGCACATGACCACTTACATCAAACTGCTCTCTTTCTTTGGGAGCTTTACTAACTCCCAATTGCTTCTGCTCAAGGGCCGCTTATCACTTCGTGCATAGCATCTTTCCATTTCTGGTCTTTCTTTGCAAAAACCTGTCAATGTTAGTTATAGTACAGATCCGAATGTATGCAATGAATGCTTCCATGATAGAGGTGGATGTTAAGATATAATACAAACTGAGCAAAAGATCCCAACCATATCTTATCGGAGATTTCCCGCATACTGCGAGTACCTCCGTAAGTTATTGGTGTGTGAGAATAGCGAATGAAGACGAGAAACTGGCAGTCACCCTGAGTAGAATCTGTGTGGTGTATAGGTGTCTTGGAGTCGGCGGCACGTTGCCAATCAGACTGCACCTAGGGCATGTATGGTACTTATTGTACTTTCCCGGCAATTTGTTCCCCTTACCACTATACGTAAGTAGTTCGCCTGAGCGTTGGGCCAACACCTCTTGTCACTTCTCACTCGTTCTTCTCTATTTCATTGCTCCTCCTAACCAAGTCTCCTTCCCAAGACGAATCTTACAGAAATTATTTTTCCATCCTCTCACCATTCTCATACAGATTCTTCCACATTCTCCTCCTCTCGCCCGCCATATTCCATATTAGGCGAGTATCAACGGATGAAGTACCTTCCGTGTTTTAGATATGGCTCATTTCTCGAAAGCTCACATTCCAAATAGTCTACTAAACAACCTTCTTCTCCACCGTGCTCCAAGCAAACATAAGCCTTCTGGAGTAGCCAATATCCACAAAAAAATACATTAATCACCGCTCTTTAGGGCAAGTCTTCCCGACTGATGATCCTGTTGTCTTTTCACAAAGACACACAGCCAACACACACTTAGAGGAAGAAAGCCTCACCATTATCTCCCTTCAACTAACTCACACGAGACTTCAATCCAGCCACTTCTCGAGGCATTCTGTGATTAGTGCCAAGTTGCCGGGCGGTTCACTGTTGATCCCCATAATGTCTGACATTCATAGAGATCATCATACTTCTTAAGCACCTCTAAAAAGAGTTATTCTCTTCTTTCAGCTACTCCATTATTGAGCATTGTATGGAAGTAGTCTTGATTCCCTGAGCTGACAAGTATTCCGCCTAACGTTTTGTTAGTAGTATCCTTCCATATCAGATCTTAATACTTCACACAGCGCCTTATTGAAAGTCTGCAGCATACCTTATGAAAATTTTGAAAGCAAGCAAACACTTCACTCTTATTTTTATCAGGTACAAACCAAGCGAACGCCGGGTACCAAACAAATCAATAAAAGTAACAAAATACTTTCATCCATGCATAGAACTTGCCTAGACAAGGTCCCCAAACATCCTGAAGTATATCAGTCGAACACGAGAACTCCTTATGACCAGAACTTACGTAAGAACTTTAGTAAGGTTTTCCAACGTCTCACCATGCATCACATTTACAAGGTGCACCGCTTATTTGCTTTCTTCAAATTAGAGATGATACAACCCTATCTTGAAAACATTAAAAGATGATTCCCAAACTTCTGGTGATGAGAGCATCAACATCACTCTCTAGCACTCATTCTCGCCTTACTTCTCCTCTCTCTATCATTGACACAATGCTGATCCATCTTCACATCTCAATCCCACGTCCACTACGCCTATTTCAGGTCCCAAGTCTCCGGCCATGTCCCTTCTCCATGGAAGATCACCTGGAAATATCAAAGAATACAAGCATTATTAGTTGAAGAATATAGCCACTAATGGTATAAAAGGACTGGAAAGAAACGAGCATGCAAAACATTGCAACAGTTTACAGTACATGCTACATCTACTTCTACCGCTTTAACCAACCACTGCTGAAATTCACCATCATCTGTTGAATACTATCAGGCGATTGCTAGTGATGTATTATGATGATAACTCACTAGCATTACCTGCTCAAGCGGACACACGGAGTTCGCTATCCATTTGTGAATATTCGGAATTATGAAGCAAGAGCATGTATTTCGTCATTACCTTTGGTCGTCATGAGCATAGGTAGCATGTTGCCTCTACGATGAATGATGTGGAGCCTCCTCTGTCCCATCTCCTCTGACTCCATCCCTCACTTCTGTTTCTCCTGATTATCGCCAGGGAGCGCTGTCCGCTCCTCAGTATAGCATCACCTCAGCTTCTTTCTCCTCCTTCTCTAATCAGTCAATTCGGCCCTTGCCTGCCTCCCCTTCCACCTCGGTCGACCCCACTGCCCGACACGCCCTGCCAACTCCACCGTCACCCGAATCTCCGTCCTTGAGTGGTATTGGCAACAGCCCTGTAGATGACCACTTCCCCAGTTGTAGCACTGCGAGTCTCTCCCCTTGAGCCATTTTTAGAATACCCTAAAGCTACCTTCACCACAGGAATTCCACCTGTCCCATGGCCTGAGCTTAATGCAGCTCTCTCTGATCATTACTAGACAGCCTCCTCCAACAGAATTTTCGGCTGAGCTAGCAGTAATGCATGCGACTACGAACTTGAATGTCAATACCTTATAGAAACAACCTATCCTCTCCTGTAGACAAGCCTCCCGCTTTAAATCCTTGGTCCTTGCAAGTCTTGCTCCGGAGTAAAGTATGTCATAATCACCACAGACGTCCACTCATTGTAGCATATTCTTGTACATCCTCTCTCCCTCGACTTGTGCGTTCAATCTCTCCTTAACTGAAACTACCCTTCAGGTATTCCCACTCCATCATTATGTTTTCCTCAACTTCTCCCCAACATCCTTCATCACTTCTTCAATGTACCCATCGCACCGTGGCGCGTATCGTCGGTCCGACCAGTGAGTTGAGAAGCCAGAATGTACACCAACATTATGAGTGAACTGTCCACTTCATCTCGCTCCTCCGAGTTCCTTCATCGTTTCTGTTTCTCCCTGTCATAACCCTTCATAGTTCCTCCGTCAGTGTATCTTCACCCCGTCGGGTGACCATGCTCGAGCGGTACTCGGCTCATCAACTTCAGATCGCATGTCGGAAGCTCAACTTTCTTGATATGTCTTGTCTTGCTTTCATCAGCCGACAGAACTCATAAATTCATCATAGAATGACACACTCTCGCAGGTCGATTCAATCTTCATTGAGATCTCCTCCATTCTATCAAGCTTTCAATCCAAAACCCTGTTCGGTCAAACTCCTTTGTTTGTGCCACGTAAAATCTTCTGCACGCACTTCTGTGCACAAACATAGAGTAGATCTTTCAACAAATTCTCGTTTCTCAGAGGAAAACTAGAATTTCCAACAGTTAGTATATCTCATCGAGTGAGATATTACTCATTCCCGTCATCAAGTTCGAGGACTGCGGTCACAGTCAGAGGTAACAATGCCAAACTCGAGGTCCAGCACGTGGTAGACGGGGAATCGTTCAGAAGGTGACGGTCTGCCACAAAACAAACGGGAGATCATGTCACGTCAGGGCTGTTTGAAGGCGTCTGTGGGATCTGCCAGCGGTCAAGCGGGTCTGCGCGTAACACAACAGGGATGTGTGGGTGTGGGGGTCATGCGTAACAGGGGTCTGGTTGGAATCGACAGCAGGATGATCTTGGGGGGTTTCAGCGATAAAGGTGGTGGGGTGGGGTTCAGACGGAGTGGGGTCTGTTGATCGGCATGACGATCGGGGTCTTTGGCCAACGATGGGAGGACTGCGGAACAGCGGAGCGGCGGGAGTCCGAAGGTAGTGGCTTGGGGTCTGGTGTGGTCCCGAACAGAGGATGCAGGCGGGGTGGGGGCGAATCGCAAGGAGGTGGGGTTTGGCGGCTAGAATTTTTGTCTCTGATACCATGAGGATAATAGAAACCTAACCCTATTAGGATATCTTTGGGTTATATAGGCCCTACACAACTTACACATAACCCCTTACAAATATTACTAATGTCAACAATTCCTTTTTATATTTGTTCTTATTTTTATGCTAACAACGTCTTTTAAACACAGTTGCTTTCATTCTAGTATTTTGTGCGCATATTTCTTCTATACATTTAATGCTGGTATAATCAGCCTTCTTCCTCTTGCTGAGGTCACGTTCTCTCTCTAAGAAGGCCAGGAATTTGTAGAATGACCTACTTCCTATTCATTCAGTATCCTAACTCTTGGGGAATTGATGTAACTTCTAGACTCTTCTATATAATGCTGTCCAACATATTGCTAACAAGTAACAATGAACATTCACTTCTATCATGTCCAGCCCATGCTAATCACTATGTCCCTAAAAGTTGATGCTAGTATTAGTGTATAATAATGGAGGCTTCTTGCCTATGAACCTGTTGCTGTAACTCCAAGTTAGTGTCTCATATTCTTGTTATATGTGTGCTCGCACTTTTATCAATTTAGACGTTGGCCAGATGTCCTGGGAACTAAAAACAACAACAAGAACAGCAGCGACATCAACAACTTAGCATGCATTCCATATTTTTGGGGGTCAATTCATGATGAAAAGTTATATCAAGCTGTCTAATGGCTGGAAACTCCACTTTACAGTCCCTTCACAAGTAGATTATACAGATCACAAGAGTGTACAGAAACATGCTTTCATGCACAATATTGAGTACATGTCATGGAGAATAAATTGGTATTTTTTTCCCTGAAACCAGGTGATTTCTTAGCATTTCTGAACTGGCATAGTAAGTGAGCTACAGTACAGACTCACTCTAATCATGTATGATGATAGCTTTTGTCAACCATCTTTGTTTTTTGTCTTGTGATCAGACCTGTTATGATGAGCTAGAGCTGCCAATACTTGGAAATATCATGGGAAAGACAATAATGTTGTTGAAAGAAAACAGAGTAGCACACCACTAAAATTTAGGCCTACTATAAGAAGACAAGAAGAGAGAAAACTAAGCTTGGTACTTTTGAAATTTAAATTTACATGCTTTGACATCAATCTCACATCCGTGAATGGTGCCATAGATGATACCACTATGAATTGAGAAGATAAGCAAACATAATTTGAGTTCTCACAATGCTCAGAATTTAGTTACATAATCCCCAAAAGATTATTTGCTTCTGCCATTGCACCTCTCTTGTCTATGAATTTCTTAGCCTTGACACTGCCACCATTAAGTTTGATGCCAGGATGACACCTGGATTAATATTTCCATTAAAATATTTCCTGCATCCTTTTTGATTTAGAGATGTTTTTAGACCACAGTTTGTTGGCAAAAAGGGTTGATGATGATTAATTTGCTCCTCTAGACGCATATATGCCTGAAGCCTCATTACTCTTGCATGCTACTAGATATGATTTTATTCAATTTTGGTCAATGCAGCATATTCCTCCTGCTCATAATACCTGATTATTGCACAATGTGATAATTATCCATAATAGGTGTTCATGTGAATCACTTCATTTGTCTGCCTTTATTGATAGAAACTATATCTGCTGGATCAAATTTCAAACGTCATCAATAGAAATTAACATGCATAGCTGTTGACGTTCAAGCTGATTAACTTCGAAATACATTACCTGTTCTCTTATTTTATTTCTATTTTATGTTGCTCTGGGGTTTCTTTTTGTGATTGCTAATGGACAACATCATTCCGGATGACAGATATGTGACATGGTAGCAGTTGCACGCATAATAAATGCAACACTGGTTATTCCAAAACTTGATAAGAGATCATTCTGGCAAGATTCTAGGTAAAAGTTCATCTTTTAACTCTTAAGATATTATCCCCCATGAAAGATGTGTTGATTGTGGAATCATTCAATGACAGCAACTTTTCAGATGTGTTTGATGTTCCACATTTCATACAATCTCTGGCCAGCGACGTTAGAATTGTAAAGAAGTTACCAAAGGAATTGGCAACGACTATGAAGGCAGTAAAATATTTTACAAGTTGGTCAGGTATAGAATACTACCAAAATGAGATATCACGCTTGTGGGATGATTATCAGGTATGTTGCCTCTTTTGTCCCTACTTTAATAGTAGTATCTAGCATTATTCTTTAACAGGTGAATCTTTCTTATAGGTTATCCGAGCAGCTAAATCAGATGCACGTCTTGCTAATAACAACTTGCCCCCTGAAATTCAAAAGCTTCGTTGTCGTACTTGCTATGAAGCTCTTCGATTTGCACCCCATATTGAGGCAATGGGAAAGGTGATTCTCAATTTATACTGTTATTACTACGATGCTACTTTTCTTTCTTGTTAGATAATATAAATATGGGTGCCCATTAATTTATGCAGTTATTAGTGGAGAGAATGAGGTCTTATGGTCGATATATTGCTTTACACTTGCGTTATGAGAAGGACATGCTCGCTTTTAGTGGGTGTACATATGGTTTATCTCCTACTGAAGCCAATGAGTTAACGAGCATCAGGTTGGAAACTTCTGCAATTACTCCTTTCATATGAGTTAAGCACAACATTTTCAAGCTACAATGGTTTTACATTAAACTTGCTGCTTCTTAATTTTTGTAGAGAGAACACTTCTTATTGGAAGGTGAAGGAAATTGATCCCCTGGAGCAAAGGGCAAAAGGGTTTTGCCCCTTAACCCCAAAGGAGGTCGGGATATTTCTTTCTGCTCTAGGGTACCCATCAGATACACCAATATATATTGCAGCAGGCGAAATATATGGTGGTGATTCTCATATGATAGATCTTAGATCTCGGTTTCCTCTATTAATGAACAAGGTAATGGAACTTTTTCTTGGTGTTAATGAGAAAAGTATGTTTGCTTTGATTTACATAAATCTCTGCCTTTTGGTTGGCTGAAAGTTTACATTGCTTTAAAAAGTTCATTTCTGAATTTAATTAACTGTTCTGGGCTAACTTATCTAGAGATAAAATTTTAATTAGAAAGGAATTTTTTGAGGGAAAATTAGAATGGAAATTAATCAACGTCAGGTTAAAGAGATGCGAAGAACTTAAGTTGATGTGATCTGAATAATGCTTTGTGTCTCGATGTTGTTGGAGTTCAAAAAATTCTGCTTGATGATGGAGTCGAGGGCATTTTTCTGAGAATAAAATATACAAGCACCAACAAAGGAAGAAAGTAAAAGATAAATAAGTGCGGGAAGAATGTGGCACTAATTCCTCGCTTTCCGTTATAAGGTTGACACCGTTCAAATACCTTTGCTCATTCAAAGTTGTTTTCATGAGCTGGGTTGTGTCCATTATAGGCTCTGCTAGCATACTGCTTTTACTTCTATTGAGTTTTCCTGGATATGATGGATTAAAATTAGGCTTGATACATCAATCAATGTACAAAACCTATGTGGAATTTCTCTTTTTCAAAGCACCAAATAGAGCAGATAAGAGAGAGGTTGATGCATGAGCATGAATCGGGTTTGCAAGAAATGTGTATTCATATTTTTTTCTTTTCTGGAGATAGTTTTTCACAAGCTGACAAGCATCACTCATATCAACTTTCTTTCTTTTTTCCCCTTAGGAAGCACTAGCTTCTGTTGATGAGCTCAAACCTTTTCGTGATCACGCATCTCAAATGGCTGCACTAGACTATATTGTATCTGTTGAGAGCGATGTGTTTGTTCCTTCGTACTCTGGGAACATGGCAAGGGCAGTTGAAGGTCACCGTCGTTTCCTTGGCCATAGGAAAACAATTATGCCTGACAAGTAAGAACATTACTGATCGTGATTGTTACGATAGGTAATCTCCATTTATCAATTTCACCATAAAATTGATTGTTTCACTTTGGAGCAGGAAAGCACTTGTTCATTTGTTTGACAAGATTGATCGAGGTTCACTTAAAGAAGGGAAGAAACTGTCAAGTATCATCTCTGAAATCCACAGGAGGAGGTTCGGATTCTTAACTTAGTCTTGTTGAAAATTATGGTATTTTTACCCTTTGCAACCTGCTCCCTTGTTGTAAACGCACTACTTGCAAGAATTTCTTGATGATAATTTAATTGCACATAAACGCTATAGTATTACTGTTGTGAACTAACAACCTGATGAGTTTCAGTTTTGCAGATAGACGCGTCTGGGTTAAGCTTTTTTTTTGTTACTCTTTTATCCTGGGTGAAATTTTGACAGATATTTCCCCTAGGTCAAATTAGTGAGCTTATCTGAGGGTAAAAGAGTCAAAATTTTTACTTAGGGGTCTATCTGCAAAAAATGAAACTTCTGGGATATTAAGTTAAAAACAACAATAATACAAGGGGTATATGTGCAATTAAGCCTAATTAATTCTCTTGTTCCAATATTGATCTCATTATAATTGATTAATCAGGCAAGGATCCCCTCGGAAGAGAAAAGGCCCAATTTCTGGAACAAAAGGAAAAGAGAGGTTTCGATCTGAAGAAGCATTTTACGAAAATCCCCTACCTGATTGCTTATGTCGATTGGAATCTCGCAATATCAACAATTCTACTTATGTCACATGAAGGGTTCAGAAATCAGCAGCAGATCAAAACTCCAAACTGAGCGATTTTTCGACAGTATAACTAAACAACATCAAGGCCTGAGTATGCAGGATTTGTGTATATCTTGAGAGTTTGCAGCATATAGATGGAAGAAGTCGGCGGAGGAGAGAAGAGAAGCTTTTTTGATCATGTAATTTAGTGTACAAGAGAAAATAGTGAGATATTGTGGAAAGTTAAAAAAGGAGGATAATTTAGAATCAGAAGCGTGTGGAGATGGACGGCATACTTGATGTTACTGATTTAATTGTAGGAAGTAAACGAATAAGAAAGGGGAATATATGTTGCACATTTTTTGTAGCGTCCCTTTTGCCTATTTTTAGGGATCCTTTTCATAAGTACAAATTTTCAAAACCAACTATTTTGCAAAAATATTCTTCAAAAACCGACATGTTTCAACTTTAATTATCAAAACCGATCCAGTTTTAGCTTTAGGGTTGAAACTAGGTCGGTTTTGTTAATTAAAGTTAGGTCGGTTTTTGTAATTAAAGTTAAAACATGTTGTTTTTTAAAATAAGTTTTAAAAAGTGTTTGTTTCGAAATTTGTCCATTTCAGAAACATTATATTGATTCCTCTATATTAAGATCTTTGTACCTACTTCTATTCTGACAGATCTTACTAGTTCTGATTTCTGTCTCGATAATAAATATGATACATTTTATTTGATAACCCAGCTCAGATTCAAATTTAAGATTGTGGAAGCCGTGTTAGAATATCCTAACTGTTCGGGTCATTTGACAACTCTACTATTAAGTTAGTGGAGCTAACCTAGTTAATAGGTTCTAACTGTTGTTTGGGTAACATTGGACTAGCTTCAAACTTGATTTTCTTAGTTTAAATTAAGGCCCGTATCCGAGTTAGAATTGAACCACCACTCTATTTGGATTAAAACTAACCTTAAGATCTTAAATAGGTTAGTGAAGAGTAGACAAACACACCCTTATATTCTATGTTTTTAAAAGGTAAACCTCTACATGTGTTATCATCCATGAAATTATCTTGCATTGCTCTGTCTATCCATTAGCACCTCTGGAACAAAAATTATCATTGATTGGCATCGACAATATATTACCTTCTTATACCATAAAATTTTGTATGATTTATTCAAATCTATTTATCTAGAACAACTAATGCATTTTTTTTTGTCTTAATCATATCATATCATATCATACTCTCTTTAAAAGCACGAGTTCAGAAAATCTTTTTTAGACAAATATACCCCTTTATAGTTTGAACTACCTTATCTATAATTAAATTCTAATTTTCAATGGTCAATATTTCCCTTCACTATTTTGAATATTTTATTTATATCTTCATCTATCCTAATCATAATCATATCTTATCCTAATCCTATGTGAACCACGTTTAGCTTAACAATTTAAAAAACTAATATTAATAAAATATATAAAAAATAAAAATAATATTAGTTTGTTAAGATAAAGAAATTACAAGTAGATAACATATTATAATACATGAAGTATTGCAAAAAACCCATAAAAATTTTAAAATTACAGAAAAGACCCTAAAAAGTTCAAAATTATAAAAATCATCCCAATGTCTCAAAACTTAAAATGAAAAACATGAAATTAAAAAATTAACATCAGTTTGCAAAGAATTTAAAATTTATTAATAAACAAAAATATTAAGAATTGATTAAAAACATCTGGTTAATGGATAAATTTTTTAAAAATATTATAGATTAAAAATTATCGGCACTATATAAATTAAATTAATTTCATATAATTTTAGTAATAAGTTAGGGTAGCCAAAATACATTCGTAACATTAATTGATAGATGTTTAAATCCATAAAAATGATAAAACACTATAATATTATACCTTAGCATTAATTGATTTTAATTTAGAAACTTTAATCTTTGACGTTAATAATATTTATAGGGTAAAAGAATACAAGGAATTACATATGGAGAAACTATTAGAATATTTAGAGATAACTTTAAAAGAATTGAGTTATTTCCATTGCAAATGGGAAAGTGATGGAAATAAATCTAAAATTCAGAAAACGTCAATGAATCACTTGAATTGGCATTAACATAAGACATATCTATTAATGAAGCACTGAATGAGTTACATTAAAAAATAATTTAATAACTTTATCCTAATCAAAGAAAAAATCTCCATGGAAGACATAAGAAAAATTAGTAAGTATTCATAAATTCCATACTGTGTTCTTCAAATTAAATATTAATATTATAATCTAAGAGAAATTGGTAATGAATAATGCAGGTATTTAGTTTAGATCTTTATGGAAAATGACAGGGATAGAGCAAAGGTAATATTATTGAAATAACAGAAATTCTTATTGGATGCACATCAGAAGAATTCATTTTAGAGGGAAATAAAGAGATAGCTTCTAATTTATTTAAGTAATAAATTAGGAACACAAAGAATTTTATATATATGAAATTAATATTTATTCTCATTGAAATAGAAAAAAAAAATCAAAGTCTATATTTTGAGCAGTTTGTGTTGAACATCATAAGTACATTTGACTTCTTTGTAAAGTTCAATGAGATGATAAAAAATTAACGAGTCCAGGAAAGATAATAGCATAAAAAATACAAAATTAGCCTGATGTCACAATTGATGTAGATGATGAAGACAATACTCTAGAATTGCCCGAGAAATAATAAATGATAAACCTGAAGAAGGATTGATCTTAACTCAATAAAAAATAAAATAGAAGAAATAAAAACAATATTTTATGAATATTTTATAGAATAGTTTAATTATTTTGAGTGAAATTAGGAATCTTTAAAAGGGAGTTTCATGAATTTTTTTCAATACTTTTATATTGTTATGTGGATGTTTTTATCATATAAAAGTATACTAGAGTTAGCATTAATCTTTAATTTATATTTTTTTATGAAGTCTATCAATGATTATGAATAAACTTCATATTCTCTTTTGCATCGTTTTAACATACTTTAAATCAATTATTTTGCCAGATTGGTTTTAAATATTCACCTTCCTTGTATAACATTATTTTAATATTTTCACTTTGCAATGCTATACTTTCTCAAATAAAGCTTAGTTTCATATCGGTCAAAGATAATATGAAAATTTAAATTATTTTTAAATTATATTTGTTTTTTGTCAGTTCAAATATCAACATGAAAATTTAAATATGGTGTATCCCATTTAAACAAACATAAAAAAAATAATTGGGATGTAAGAGTTTAAAGAAAAAAATGAGCACAAACTACCAAAAATACTTAATCATGGTATTAAATCACGTGCATTGCACGTGTGTAAAAACTAGTACTCCCTTTAAAAGTACGAGTTCGGAAAATCTTTTTTAGACAAATATACCCCTTTATAGTTTGAACTACCTTATCTATAATCAAATTCTAATTTTCAATGGTCAATATTACCCTTCACTATTTTGAATATTTTATTTATATCTTAATCTATCCTAATCATAATCATATCTTATCCTAATCCTATGTGAACCATGTTTAGCTTAACAATTTAAAAAAACTAATATTAATAAAATATATAAAACATAAAAATGAAATTAGTTTGTTAAGAAAAAGAAATTACAAGTAGATAACATATTATAATACATGAAGTATTACAAAAAACCATAAAAAGTTTTAAAATTGCAGAAAAGACCCTAAAAAGTTCAAAATTATAAAACTCATCCAAAATGTCTCAAAACTTAAAATAAAAAACATAAAATTAAAAAATTAACATCAGTTTGTAAAGAATTTAAAATTTACAGTTAACACCTCAATGTCTCAACAATTATAGAAACACCCTCAAAAGTTTAAATTACAGACAAGCACATTAAAATTCTAAAATTTTAAAACTTACAAACAACACAGATGAATTCAAGAGATTATCATGATACACCTAAAATTTTTGACATTTAAATTTAAATTTTTTAATTAACACCCTCAATATCTCAAAAATTATAGAAACACATTTAAAAGTTCAAATTATAAAAAGCCACCCTAAAATTCTAAAATTTGTAAATAAAATAAGATGAATTCAAGATATTACCCTTAGACACCTAAAAAATTAAAATTTACCAAAATTAACCTTAAAATTTTTTAAAAACTCCTTCAAAATTTAAAAATTGTAAAAAAAAAAAGAATTGAGTTATTTCTATTGCAAATGGGAAAGTGATGGAAATAAATCTAAAATTCAGAAAACGTCAATGAATCACTTGAATTGGCATTAACATAAGACATATCTATTAATGAAGCACTAAATGAGTTACATTAAAAAATAATTTAATAACTTTATCCTAATCAAAGAAAAAATCTCCATGGAAGACATAAGAAAAATTTGTAAGTATTCATAAATTCCATACTGTGTTCTTCAAATTAAATATTAATATTATAATCTAAGAGAAATTGGTAATGAATAATACAGGTATTTAGTTTAGATCTTTATGAAAAATGACAGGGATAGAGCAAAGGTAATATTATTGAAATAACAAAAATTTTTATTGGAAGACATAAGAGGAATTCATTTTAGAGGAAAATAAAGAGATAGCTTCTAATTTATTTAAGTAATAAATTAGGAACACAAAGAATTTTATATATATATAATTAATATTTATTCTCATTGAAATAGAAAAAAATCAAAGTCTATATTTTGAGCAGTTTGTGTTGAACATCATAAGTACATTTGACTTCTTTGTAAAGTTAAATGAGATGATAAAAAATTAACGAGCCTAGGAAAGATAATAGCATAAAAAATACAAAATTAGCCTGATGTCACAATTGATATAAATGATGAAGAAAATACTCTAGAATTATCCGAGAAATGATAAATGATAAACCTGAAGAAGGATTGATCTTAACTCAATAAAAAATAAAATAGAAGAAATAAAAACAATATTTTATGAATATTTTATAGAATAGTTTAATTATTTTGAGTGAAATTAGGAATCTTTAGAAGGGAGTTTCATGAATTTTTTTCAGTACTTTTATATTCTTATGTGGATGTTTTTATCATATAAAAGTATACTAGAGTTAGCATTAATCTTTAATTTATATTTTTTTATGAAGTCTATCAATGATTAGGAATAAACTTTATATTCTCTTTTGCATCGTTTTAACATACTTTAAATCAATCATTTTGCCATATTGGTTTTAAATATTCACCTTCCTTGTATAACACTATTTTAATATTTTTCACTTTGCAATGCTATACTTTTTCAAATAAAGCTTAGTTTCATATCGGTCAAAAATAATATGAAAATTTAAATTATTTTTAAATTATATTTGTTTTTTGTCAATTCAAATATCAACATGAAAATTTAAATT